GCCAGAAGTGGCGCTGTGGCTCAAGTGATAGAGCGCTAGCCTTGAGCTGAAGAGCTGAGGGACAGCGCCCAGGCCCAGAGTTCAGGCCCCATGAACGGACCCAAAAAAAAAAAAAATACTGCTGAAAAGTTATTGTAGAGGATCTTTGATGAATCATGTGATATCTGCTCCAGGGCCTTTTCTTTTTAAAAAAAAAATTTTTTTTAATTTTTTTTGGGTCCGGTCATAATGCATGAACCCTGGGCCTGGGCACTGTCCTTCAGCTCTTCAGCTCAAGGCTAGCGCTATACCTCTTGAGCCACAGCGCCACTTCAGGCTTTTTTCTTTTTGCTTATGTGGTGCTGAGGAATCGAACCCAGGACCTCATGCATGCAAGGCAAGCACTCTACCACTGAGCTACCTTTTCTTTTTAATAAGTAGAACTTGCAACTAAATTAACACATATTTTTTCATTTTGCAGTTCCTCAAGAGACAAGACTTACTGAATGTCCTGGCCCGAATGATGAGGCCAGTGAGTGATCAAGTGGTATGTATTCTTGTTGGTTTCTGTGTACAAAATGAATTCTTAGAGCTTATTCCATATCTTCTTGAATTTTGTTTGGACTCTCTATTTGTATTCCTTTCCAAAACATTGACACTTTCCTATTTAGACTGATCATCATCGATCCATTCAGTGTGCAAAGGTCAGGAGACCTTTGTATGCTTTTTGGTGGGAAGGAGATATTATCAGCTTCCTTGGCTGTGGTAGTGGAAAGATGGTTTGTCTTAGTCTGCTATTTTGCTCCTTGCATATGGTTTATCTTTGGCAGGAAGCTGGGTTTCTTCTCTAATACTTTTTGGGTTCAAATAATTTTGATTTTTTTTTTTTAATCAGTCATGGGGCTTGAACTCAGGGCCTGGGCTCTGTCCCTGAGATGTTTTTCCCCTCAAGGCTACATCTCCACCACTTTGAGCCACAGCGCACAGCTCTGGTTTTTCTGGAAGCTAATTGGAAATAAAAATCTTAGGGACTTTCCTGCCCTGCTGGCTTTGAACCTCAATCCTCAGATCTCAGCATTCTGAGTAGTTAGGATTACAGGTGTGAGCCGCCAGTGCCAAGCATGATTTTGTGTGTGTGTGTGTGCATGCCTATATTGGAGCTTGAACTGAGGGCTATCTGATATCCCTTACATTTTTTATTTAAGGCTTGTGCTCTATCACTTAAGCCATACCATCCAGCTTTTTGGTAGTTAATTGGAGATTGAGAGCACTCAGCTCCTAATACTTTCAGAATTTCCTGAATGTCAGGAATGTGTTTTTATTTTTGTTAAGAAACCCAGTTTAAGGCTGGGAAGGTGGCTCAGTGGTAGAGTGCTTGCCTCACATGCATGAGGCCCTGGGTTCAATTCCTCAGCACCACATAAGCGGAAAAAGCCAGAAGTGGCACTGTGGTATAGTGCAAGCCTTGAGCTGAAGAGCTGAGGGACAGTTCCCAGGCCCAGAGTTCAGGCCTCATGACTGGCAAAAAAAAAAAAAAACCAAAAAACAAAAAAAAAAACCCGGTTTATGCTCATGCAATGTCTTAAGGTAGTCCTTAAATAGTTTTGGGAAGAGGCTGTTCATGAGAAAACTCCAGTTTTTAGGGGTTGAGAAGTTTAGCCCTTTTCTGCACCCCTGGGGCAAATACTAAAACATACTCTTATGACAGTGTCATATTCGTTGTATTTTTATTATTAAAAATCCTTTTTGAAGCTGGGTGCTCCTGCCTGTAATCCTAAGCTACTCAGGAGGCTAAGATCTGAGGATCAAGGTTCAAAGCCAGCCCAGGCAGGAAAGTTTGTGAGATTCTTTTTTTTTTTTTAACTGTATTTTTTTTGTCTTTTCTTTTTTGGTACTGGGGATCGAACCCAAGACGTTGCGCTTGCTAGGCAAGCGCTTTGCCACTGAGCTACATCCTAGCCCCAGTTTGTGAGATTCTTATCCCCAGTAAACCACCAGAAAACTGAAAGTAGCACTGTGACTCAAGTGGTAGTGCTCACCTTGAGCTGAAGAGCTGAGAGACAGTGCCCAGGCCTAGAGTTGAAGCCCCAGAACCACCCAAAAAAAAAAAAAAATTGAGTCAAGTGCTGGTGACTCACACCCATTATCCTAGTTACTAAGGAGGCTGAGATCTGAGGATCACAGTGCCAGTCGAAGCAGAAAAGTATGTATGACTCCATTTAACCCCCAAAACCCTGGAAGTGGAGCTATAGGTCCAGTGTCAAGTGTTACAATGAAGCATTAAGCTAAAAAAGAGACAGCACCCTAACCCTCAGTTCAAGCCCCAGTAGCAGCACCAAAAAATAAATTTTTAGAAATTCTGTGCCAAGAAGTTGCAATAGAAATCAAAAAATTTTTGAGTACTAGATGAATAGTATTCTGGGGCTGTTTATTTGTTGTAGTCCTAGTGTTTGAATTTAGAGACTTGAACTTGCTAGACAATTGCTCTACCACTTGAAAAAGCACACCACCATGCTCAGATTTTTCTGTTTAGATGAAGTCTCAAACCTTTTTTTTTTTTTTGGTCAGTTGTGGGACTTGAACTCTGGGCCTACGTGCTCTCCCTCAGCTCTTCAGCTCAAGGTGAGAGTTCTACCACTTGAGCCACATTCTGGTTTTCTGGTGGAAAGTCTCATGGACTTTCCTGCCCAGGCTGGCTTTGAACCATGATCCTCAGATCTCAGCTTCCTGAGTAGCTAGGATTATAGGTGTGAGCCACTGGCGCCCAGCTGAGTCTCAGACTTTTTGCCTCAGCTGGCCTTGAAATTCCATCTTCCTAATCTAAGCCTGCCAAGTGGCTAGGATTGCAGGCATAAGCAATCATGATGGCTAGTGTTCTGTTTTTATATAACAAGTTATCACAAATATAATTTCTTGAAACGGTATCCATTTTTTGTCTCACAGTTTCTGTGGATTACTAATCCTTTTTGGATTAGTTAAGTCCTCTTCCTACCGTTTTAGGAGGTTGAAATTAAGGTATCAGACAAACTAGGAATTTCTTCTTCCAGTCTTCTCAAGGTCATTTAGGCTGTTGGCAGAACTCAGTTCCTTGTGATTTTAAGTCCCCATTTTCTTGCTATCTGCCAGCTGGAAACTATTCTCATATTCTGGAAACTACCCTTAGGTCCTTATGACTTGTCCTACTTTCTTAAGCCCTGTCACTGTAGATTTTCTTCTTCAAGTAGGGCTTAGACTCTTAAAAACTTACTTGTTGCCGGGTGCCAGTGGCTCACGCCTGTAATCTTAGCTACTCAGGAGGCTGAGATCTGAGGATCATGGTTCAAAGCCAGCCCGGGCAGGAAAGTCTGTGAAATTCTTATCTCCAGTAAATCACCAGAAAACCAGAAGTGGCACTATAGCTCAAGTAGTAGAGCACTCGCCCTGAGCTGAAGACCTCAGGGACAGTGCACAGGCCCAGAGTTCAAGCCCCATGACAAAAAAAAAGAAAGAAAGAATTGACTACCTTATCATTAGGGAGCAGAAGAGAGCAAGAAAACATTCCATCTGTAAAACAGACATCCATCTTATCTCCAAGGCCTTAAGCTTTTAGTGTCCAAGCAGTTCTAATTTAAACACACTTGGGATAGTAACTTTTGCTCTGTCAGCCTTGACAGACCCTTTGACCTTACTTGAGCTTGGCCCTTATCACTCCAAGATGGCATTCCAAGCTCTTTAACCCTTTCGGGTCTCACAGCTTGGCATCTGAGGCCCTCCCACCTTCTGCCTTTTAACATTATTGTGGGGATGATATACCATCTTGTTCTTGAATCCTACTCAAGGGGATATTGTATACCTCCAAGGAGGTCCTTTGGAGGCCATTTAGAAATCTACCTATCACAGAACTCAATATGTAAATTTTGTCATCTTTGTTTTGTTTTTGAAGCAAATAAAAGTAACTATGAATGATGAAGACATGGATACCTATGTATTTGCTGTTGGCACACGAAAAGCTTTGGTACGACTACAGAAAGAGATGCAGGATCTGGTATGTCAAGTTATTTCAGTTCAAATATGTGTAGAAACTGCCATTTATTACATAATGCAACTTCTTAGCAAAAGACAATCCTATCTGACAAATGTTGGTTAGCATTACTTTGATACAGGTCAGTACATATTATTTCAAGGGAAAAGATTTGTGCATAATAAAATGTCATGCCGTATCTTATTCTTAATTTCTTCTTTCTCTAGAGTGAGTTTTGTAGTGATAAGCCTAAGTCTGGAGCAAAGTATGGACTTCCAGACTCTTTGGCTATCCTGTCAGAGATGGGAGAAGTCACCGAGGGAATGATGGATACAAAGGTAAATACAGTTTTTAAAAAAAAGGTTACACCCAGGGCAGAGAGGAAGCTCAGTGGTAGAGTGCTTGCTTAGCGGGCAGAAAGCCCTAGAGTCAATCTCCATCCAGCACCACAAAAAAATAACCATGTGCAGGGGCTAGGAATGTGGCTTAGTGGTAGAGTGCTTGCCTAGCATGCATGAAGCCCTTGTTTCGATTCCTCAGCACCACATAAACAGAAAAGGCCAGAAATGGCATTGTGGCTCAAGTGCTACAGTGCTAGCCTTGAGCAAAAAGAAGCTCAGGGACAGTGGCCAGGCCGAGTTCAAGCCCCAGGACTGGCAAAAACAAAACAAAAAAAGAACAACAAGAAAAAGAACACCCTGGGCTGGGAATGTGGCTTAGTGGTAGAATGTTTGCCTAGCATGCATGAAATCCTGGGTTCGATTCCTCAGTACCACATAGACAGAAAAAGCCAGAAGTGGTGTTGTGGCTCAAATGGTAGAGTGTGCTAGCCTTGATCAAAAACAGGAACAGTGCCCAGGTCCTGAATTCAAGACTGGCAAGAAAAAGAAAAAGAACACCCTGAGTTCAAACCCCAGTATAGCCAATAATAATAACAATAATAACAAAAAATTTTACATTTAAATCATGTGCATTGTTTGTAATCCCTGCTACTCCAGGAGATAAGACTGGAAGATTACAAGTTTGAAGCCAGCATGGGAAATTCAGAGAACCTTTATTTGAAAAAACAAGCTAGGTGCCAGTGACTCACGCCTATAATCCTAGCTATTCAGGAGCCTAGCTCCTCAAGAGACTTAGATCTAAGAATCAAGTTTAGAAGCCAGTCCAGGTAGAAAAGTTTTTGAGACTCTTACCTCCAATTAAATAGCAAAAAGCTAGAACTGGAGCTACAGCTCAAGTGGTGGAGTGCTGTGAACCAAAAAGCGGCCCTGAGCTCAAGCTCTAGTACTAGCAGCAGCAACAACAGCAACAAAAATCTGAAATTATTTTAGCTTTTTTGTTTTGTTTTGTTTTGATTTGTCTTCAAGGGAAGGGTGAATAAACTAGGGTTTGAATTTAGGACTTCCAACTTGGTAGGCACATGCTCTGCTATTTGAGCTATGACTCCCAGCCTTTTTTGCTTTTATTTTTCAGATAGAATCTTATGTTTCTGCTGGGAACTAGCCTCACACTATAATCCTCCTACCTTCACCTTTCACCTCGTTGGGATTATAGGCATGAACTAGCACACCCATTTTGTTCTTGGAGATCAGGTCTTGCTTTTTACCTGACTGGCCTGACATTCTTGATTATCCCATTTGTTACCCCAGTAGCTAGAATTACAACAGGCATAAGCCACCTGCTTGGTTTCTGCTTTGTTTGGGGTTTTTT